CACGCCCACATAAGAGAAAACCTCAGTTCAATTCAAGATGGGGGGAGAGCGAAGGAGTGAGGGGAGAGAGGAGGAGGGAGGGAGACGGGTGTGTCCCTATTTAATGGGCATAATGTAAGGATATATGGCATGATTGCATTTAGAATCACCTCCTGGAAGGCCTGACCAGGGACCACTAAGACCCCACAGCCACCTCTAGGGGCAACTGAACAGAGACACCTGAAGACACATCCGTCTTTGCCTCACAACTAGGTGGGCCTCCAGCATCTCATCTGCAGGAGAAACGGCTGTGGGTCTGCTTGTCACTAGGATGTGAACCCCATGGAGGCAGAGACTTTGGTTCCCTGCTCTGTTCTCCACCCCATAACAATGCCTGGCACATGGTAGGTGGTCAATTAATATTGACTGAATGAACAAATGGATAAAAATGCCTGATTTGCCCTTGTCCCTAGTGCAAAAGCCTAACCCCAGGAGGCTCCTCAGTGGATGTGTGAATTAAACCAGACCCTCTGATGATCCCTTTGGGATCTGGAATTGGAGTATAAACTGGGACATGATTCAAAGTCAAGAGTAAGGCAGCCACACCTATTCCAGGAGAACAGAGAAGCCAGGAACACTGATCTGCAGAGACGGGAGAATGCAGCAAATATTCAGAAGACTGGAGGAGGCAGAGGAGTGGTCCTGGATGGGGCTGACAGCCTCACTCTAACCTCACTCTCCCATCTTGGTTTTGGCCCCTGGGACCTTATGCTTCCTGCCCTTGGGCTCTTGTATTTGAAAATATTTTGCCAGTTTGTGTTAGACCGAGTTCTCCTTATCTGTATTGTTAAGATGCAGAACACTTTTTAGCTTAAATTAGTTTGCTCGTTAGTTGTTTTCCTATAATAACACCTCCTTTTTGTCTTGGATTGTTTTGAGTGGGTTTCTGCTTCTTGTATTCTTATAATAAATTATGTCTTTCTTTTCTTTTTTCTTCTTCTTTTTTTTTCCTTAATAGGCTTTTGGTTGGAAATTAAATAGTCCCTAAGATTTAATCAAACTATTTCAGCTTCCCACATGGGAAGTTGGCGGGATGTGAAGAAAGCCTCTTGGTCTCCTTGCCTTGGGTCAGAGGAAGGTTTGACCCTGGAGAGTGGTTTTTACAGTGTTAAGTCTAGTGGAATCAGCAACATCTCTCTGTACGGGGCTTTTGGAGGCTCCCTTCACCTCCTAAAGCAGGACCCTTGAAGCCACAGCTCCTAGGAGACCCAGATCCTCTGCCTTACGTGTAGCAGAAGTCTGACTTTCTCTAAAAGACATCAACTTAGATGACTTCTGGGTGCTAATTCTTCTCTTCCTGATGATCTGCCCTGCCTCAGTGGGTTACATCTCCATCTATGGTATTCTGTGGACTCACAGAGTGCAGAACGTCTAAATTCCTTGCTATGGACAACCTTCCCCCAAGTTTCCATGTTATGAATAACCCTCATTCACACACAAAACATTGTGCTGGCACTCATGTCTCCAGGAAACAAAAAAGAAATTTACTGTGATCCACTGGGTTAGTCCCGCGAAGAGGGGTCTGTATCCTTCTTCTTCTCAACAAGGGCACAGCAAATGAAATACCACACACAGGGAACAGGCAGTGGGGTAGAAAAGGGGCGGATCAAAGTGCAAGTAGCTACTGGTACCAGGCACTCTGCCGGGTGTGCACCCACTTGCTACACTGGTACCGGGCACTCTGCCGTGTGTGTGCCCACTTGCTACACTGGTACTGGGCACTCTGCTGGGTATGTGCCCACTCGCTACACTGGTACCGGGCACTCTGCCAGGTGTGTGCCCACTCACTAACCCTCGCAAGGGCTCTTCCATGTCACTATCCCCCTTTGACTGATGAGAAAGCAGAGAAGTTAGGAAACTTGTTTCAGATCACACAGTTAACAAGTGATGCACCCACCCTATACAGGAAGATATTGAGCAGGGGAGAGTATCATCCAGACTATGGAATCCGATAGCAAAGTAGACCTCTTCCAGGCATCCAGGGATCCCAAGACGGGGAGCCACAGGGTAGGGAAGGGGTCCCTGGGTTGCACCCAAGGGACTACCAGACCAGAGGCCTTGGGAGGTGGCAGGGGGTGACTAACAGTAGGAGTTGTGCAGTCTGGGAAGGCAGGCAGCTTGAGGTTCTCAGCAGGAACCCCAAACATCCCAAATACCTGCATTTATCTTTATCTTGATACTTGGACTACAGAGCCTAATGAAGCAGTGGAGGGGGGGCCAGGAGGCTGCACCTCCCCCTCACCTCTCCCTAGTAACTGGCTTTTCTTCCACCGCTTGGCTGGTTCTGATGGCTGCTGGGAAGTCCTGATTGCCTGGGCTGTGTTTTGGATCTGAGGACCCATCTAGATGCCACCTTGGACCAATAGCTGACATGGAAAGAGCTTCATGGGAAGGAGGCCTTGGAGGTGTGGCTTTTAGCCCATGAATTTTCCTGGAGAAAACCTGGGGCCGGGGGGATGGTCAGAGCCAGGCTGCCATGAACAAGTAATGGAAGAGTAATTTGGTGGAGTTTCTAATCAATAGCTTACTGTATATCCAGGGAAGAGGAAATGAAATCATCTTATCAGAATGAGCTCTCAGGGTGACATTTGGGGTGAAATTTTAGAATCTCCACTAAGGAGAAGAACTAACTCAGGTGTAAGAAGTCAGGGGCAGCTCTGCTGGTGGCTAAGGCTGAGCTGGGGTTTAAGGACATTACTTGGAATGGCTCTAAGCATCATGCTTGCTCAGCTGGCCTCAGCTGCCTGGGTGTGGGTTTAACAAAAGGTGCAGGTTTGTAAAGTTTATGCAATAGAAGGACCAGGGGGCAGGAAAACTGAGGGGACTGATGGGAACATGGATGAAGAATTGAATAATAACAAGATGATGATGATGATGATACGGCAGTGGGAATGTTGGTGGGTGGAGTAGTGGAAAAGCCCAGGCAGGGCCTAAGTCGTGCCTTCTGTCAGAAAGCCAAACGTCTGAGTGTTTGATCTGAGATCCGCATGTGGGGAAGGGTCTGGATACAGAAAGTTTGACAAATGGCAGACACCTGGAGGAAGAGGGGATGCTGTGGAGCTAGAAGCAAAACATTCTCTATTTTGCGCACTAATCTTCTAGAAGTGTATCTATCAAATAGCAGGCAGCTGAGAGCTGTGGGGAGGTCGATGAACTGATGCATGTGAAGTACACAGGATAGCGCTGGTGGCTGGTAAACACTAAGTTAGCAGCGGTTAGGAGGGGCATTATGTGTGAGCTCATGGGAGATATTCCCTGGGGTTCAGAAATATTTAATTAAGGGACACTTTAAAAGGTGGCTGAGGTCCTACATTCTGCAAGTGGGAATACGAGCCAGAGAATTTTTAATTTTAACTGGTAATGTGATCCCATTTGTAGCCACAGGCTGATGAGGTCTGGGTGAACTTGGGTTATGGTAACAAAAACAAAATCGATCATCTCTAGATTATCGGTGGAGTGTTATAGATCCTGGGCATTACGCATACATACATACACATATCGTATAAAATATGCATGTATAAAATATCTTTTAATCTTAACCTTCTGCAACGTAATTATTATTACGACCATTTTGTAGATGATGTTCCAAGAGATAATAACTTGCCGAGCTCACAAATCAAGTAAGAAATGGAGCCAAGATATGGATAATGGGGTTGGGGATAATTGGGGAAGAATAAAAGGTCAGAAAGAGTCTAACAATAGAAGAAAGTGGAGTGCCCAAGAGTCTGAATTACTCTTACTTCTTCTAACAACCTTTAAACAAGACAGAATGTGTGAGGTGTGCCAGGCACCATGGACCTCGATGTCTGGACTCATCGATTTTTATAATACAGGATGTCCCCACAGTCACCATAAGTAGAGGAAATGGGGAATTGCAGTTATATGTACCTTGAGTTACAAAATATCCATTATAAACTTTTACAAAATATTTACAAGATATTCTCTAGGTATTGGCCACCTTTTTGTCAAATTTTATAAAGAATATTTTGTACATAAAGGTACCTTTAGCTACCATTTCTCATTCTCCCGATGTAGGACAACTTTGGGGACATCTTCTATTTCTGAGATGGGTATTTTTTCCTGCTGTCATTTTATAGATGAAGAAATGGAGGTTTTGAGAGGTAACATAAATGCATGAACTATCAGTCTGACAGCCTATGCTTTGGACCAGGCAAGTGCATTTTTACCGGAACACAACCACACCAATTCCATTATGTTTTGTCCATGTCTGCTTTAGTCCTACGACGGCAGAGCCGAGTAGTAGTTGTGATAGGCAAACCTGTGGTATTTACTGCCTTAAAGAGAAAAGTTGTTGACTCCTGGCTTTGACCCCTATGCCACGAACTTGCCTTAATTAATTCAAAGGTGGGATGGGGTAAGACATCTGGAAGGATGTGCAAATGTGGTCAAGAGGTGTCAGAAAGAGATATGTCTATAACAAGGTGCCAGAGTATGGGCAGGGAGTGTCCTGGGGACAGAAGTCCCAGCCTTGTGACCCTAGGATGGGCTGTTCATATGGGTGTTCAAGTTGACCAGGATAGTGGGAGGCTTTGGAGTAGAGAGGAAGATTGGTGTTGAGGTCAAGAGAGGCGTTGAGGTCAGAACCTTACTCAACGAAGGGGAGTGACCAGGAAGCTACTAGCCGATAGGTATGGAGTGAGGTCAGGAGACTGAGGCAGAGCTAAGAATGACCCTCACAAAAAGGGGGAAAAGGAGGAATAATGGTTTGGGAATAAGAATGAGATGCAAGAAGAAAGCTGGCTCCCTTCTCTCCCAGACCTGGGGCATATGTGGGAAGGACTAGGGCACCTGAGGGACCGCAGGGAAGGCAGGTTCTCTGTAGGCAGCTGCTGCACGAGCTCCCTGTGGTCCCACTCAGTGCGTCCTCACTGCACCACACTCTCCCCCTGCTGAGTCTGGCTGGCCCTGCCCTTGATAATCTCTGCCACCAGGGCCCTTACCTGAGTAGTCTATGACGAAGCCGGCATTGCTCACACTTGCGTCACTGCGGAAGGCGAGGAAGAGGCTGTTGCTACTGCTCTCAATGCGGCCTGGAAGCTGGGAGCCATAGAAGCTTCCTATGAGAGGGCTGAGAGAGTCCCGTCCGTCGTAGATATGCAGGAAGTCATAGCCAGGCTCCAAGTTAAAGCTGGGGAACAAAAACATCCCACCCCCACCCCACTGAGGTCAAATAAAGGCTCATGCTGGGGCCTCAGACTTAACCAAAGGATGGGGCCTTCCAGAAAGCAAGCCCACCACCCCACTGGTACCCGACCCTGAGGACTGGCTGGTGGCAGGGCGAGGATGAAGCCCTGGTGACCTCTCAGTCAGGTAAGAAGGGGGACAAGGTGGGCTCGGGGGCAGAGGAGGCAGAGTCCACAGTCAGCATCCAAAACTCTGGAGCTGAAAACATCATGTCCCCTAATCCAGAAGGGAAAATGAGTCAGCAACGCTAGACACCGAGCTGCCAGCCTACATAGGCCCAGAAGGCAGGTGTGGTACCTGAAGCTCAAGGGTTTCAAATTGTGCCACTCTGGACCTCCTTTTCTAACAGAAGCCATCAGGGAACCTTTCCAAGCAGGAAGGGGCCTATTAGCATGAAGGGCCCTAGCTTTTCACCTGTACGCAGAGTCAATTCCTAGCTAGCTCTCTCAGGACTAGTGATTCTCATTCTGTATGCTGTAGCACACTGGTGCACTGTGAGAGGATCATAGGTGTGCCACAAACATTTTTAAAGATCATTAATTAAATTATTTTCAAAAGAAGTTCAAAGCACAGCAAGTATATTCTTTTGGGGTTTTTTTTGATCAACATTAATTTAAGTGTGCTGTGGAAGTTTACCCATAGGTTAAGGGTGCCATGAGATAAAAAAAGTTGAAGCACACTGCCCTAGGGGCTGCTCCCCTCCTACCCCAAGGGCCCACAGGTGTGCCTCTCTTGTAATTATCCTGGCCCTGGCGTGAAGAAAAATCCATTTAAAAAACTGTCTTAGTTTAACAAATTGAATATTAGAGTCCAGGACTGTAATTTATCCCAATGGAATGGCTGGAATGAAAAATAATGGAGGATGCCAAGTATTGGCAAGAACATGGAGCTCCCAGAGCTCCCGGGCCCTGGTGCAGGTATGAATTGGTTCAACCACATTGGAAGCCTGTTGCCTTGTTATCCACTGAATCTGAACATACATCTGCCTGGTAATACAGCGATTCCACTCTAAGGACACTAGTCAAGGGTGCCAAGATGACCCCAGTGGCAAAGTAAAGGGGCTTGCAGGGAACTGATTCTGGATGCAGATTCATTCATGCCCAGCCGTGGACTGGGATACGCAATAAGTCCTCAACGTCACCCACAGACTCCTGGAAACGCTAACTTTAGTGAAATGAAGTATTAATATAACAAAACCATTCTTTCCTCTCTCATCAACTTTGCAACAAAATGACACTGGGCAAAAACAATATTATTTGAAGACCTGCCCTATGTTGTTTCACTTAAAGTCACAGTTGCTGATAACCTGCCGGCAATGCTGAGTGAGGACTTACTGTACATCATCTAGCTGGACTGAGAATGAAATGGCCGTTCTACGCTTTAGCTAAGACACATGGCACAGAGAGGAGGCCATGCACCTCTATGACCAAAGGGGTAAGGCTGGTAGAGACAGGGAAGGGTGGCGGGGGGAGAAGCACAGAGCCAGAGGAGAATGGGCTTCCTTCCCACCTGGCCCCTTCTCGTGCTGATGTCAGCTGTGTGGTTACCACTCCACTGCTGGGTGACACTGTTCTTGCCCCTGTACTTCAGCTTCTACCCATCTGCTTTTTTAAAAGTCACCAAGGAAGGTTTTGGAGTGAGTCAGTCTTGGTCACAAATGATGGCACTGACACTTCTTAAATAACTGCCTCTGTGTGTCCCTCTCTTCCTACGATCATCAAATTGTATTTGGGAACCCTGAATATGCCAGGTACTGTGCAAGGTGCCGAGGATACGGAGACCTCACAGACAGCACCCCTGCCTTTGGGAAGTTCACGGTGCTGCAGGGCGTGAGAAGTGAGGCTATGGGATTGAAACAGAGCTGAAATAGCCCTCATAGAAAAGGGGAAGAAGAGTGATGGTTTGGAAATAGAAATGGGGTGCAAGAAGAAAGCCACACCCTGCCCCCAGCCCTGGAGTTGAAGGATTAAGATGTGTCAACAACAGAGTGAAGTATAAAGGCTGCCCCGTGCTGGGGGTGCTGGGTCATGCCTGTAATCCTCACACTCTGAGAGGCCAAGAGCGGGTGGATTGCTTGAGCTCAGGAGTTTGAGACCAGCCTGAGCAAGAGTGAGGCCCTGTCTCTACTGAAAATAGAGATACTAGTGGGAGTTGTGGTGGGTCCCAGCTACTTGAGAGGCTGAGGCAAGAAGGATCTCTTGAGCTCAGGAGTTTGCAGTTGGTGTGAGCTATGATGTTACATCACTCCACACAGGGCTATAGAGTGAGAAGTCTATCTCAAAAAAAAAAAGAAAAGAAAAGAAAGAAAAAACTCTGTCCAAAACAAGGTTCTTCAGGGGAGCAGAAAGTGAGGCTTTCACAGAGGAGGTCGGGCTTGAGCTGAGTCTTGGGAGATGCAAAGACCTCAGAGGTTGGATAGGAGGGCAAAGGAAGTTGCTCTCAGGGAAGAAGCAGGGGCGAAAGTCACAAGGGCATGATGAGTTTGCGAGGCCCTGCAACCAGAAGTTCAGGCTGGCTGGAGCTTAGGGCTTGGGATGGAGTCAGGGGACTGACTGCAGAGGCAGGCAGGGGTCAGGCTGTTTGGAATGAAACTCCGAAGTTCCAGCCTTTATAAGGAAGAGAAGATCATTGCAGGATTTTAAAAACAAAGGAACTATTTGTTTGTTTCCTTGTATTTAAATTGCACTATGATTTATACACCGTGAAATGTGTCAGTTTTGACACGTGCATATCAGGACTCAGAACTGTCCCACCACCCCAGGAAGTCCCTGGGTCCTCCCAGCCCAGCTTCCCCACCCCAGATGCCAGCACCGATCAGAATTCTTCACCATGGATTAGTTTTGCCGATCCTACAATTTTCTGCGAGCTGAGTCACACACTGTGCTTTTCTGTGTCTCTTCTCTCGCTCAGCATAATATTTTGGGGATTCATCCCCGTTGTTCCATGTATCAGTGGCTCATTCTTTCTTATTGCTGAGCACTATCATTATGGGATGTTAAAATGGAAACTGGGGTGGTTATTTCAGCGTTTTTGAGTGACAAGCTCACTCTGACAGCTCGCTGAAGGCAAGATGGGGCAGAGGAATGAGTGAGGAGACGAGGGTGGTCACAGAGGTGGGCAACGATAAGAGCTCGAAGCAGGATGGCAGCTGGGAGGATGGAGAAGCCGTGAGAGTGGCCCAGTGCCAGCCCAGGCCCAGAACAGAGCTGCTCTTGGGGAGGAGGAAGATGCTGGGGCTCAGACCCCCTCATTTAAGGTGCTTGCAGGCCCAGACAGAAGCCCAGAGCTGGCCGGAGTCCTGCCACTCTGAAGACAGGGCAGATGGTAAAGAGGGGTTCTCCCCTGACCAGAGGACAGAGCAGCGTGGGGGTGCTGAGCCTGTCCGGGAAGGAGGTGTGGGTGGGAGGCCCTGACAAAGCCTGGCAAAGGGAGCGGGGTGAGAATAGGGTCACACAAAGTCACAGTAGAGCACGGAAAACCGGGGAGAGCCACTTCCCAGACAGTGGAGAGAGCAGCGTGAGCATGGGGGGGTGACCCAGAGGCGGAGTGGGATGAAACGTGGCCAGTTCTGTTTGGTTTGGAGCCAGGCGTTCGTGGGTGGCTTTTATCAGAGGAGTTTCTAGTGGAACCGCGGAGGCAGAAACCAGATTCCAGGGGGTTGAGAGCGACCAGGAGGCGAGGGAGTAGGGAAAGGCAGAGGTGGTTCTTTTGAAGAGCTCCCCGGTAAGCGGAATGAAAGAGCCCGAGAGCCAGATAGGGGACTAGGCCAGGGTCCGTTCACATGGAGGGAGCGGGCAGAGCGCGGGGACCAGAGGCCAGGAGGCGGCCAGGACGCAGGCAGCACGCCTGGCCTCTCTGAATCTCCGCATCTTCAAGGACAAGACAGAAATAACAGCAGCTACTTCCTACATTATTGTGAGGATTAAATGAGATAACGTGTGAAACCACCGAGAACAGTGTTTGGTGCGTACCCACCCTCCTCACGTCCACGGAACTGAGGCCTCTGCTCACAGCCTGTCCTACTCACCTAGAGACCCGGTCCCAACCCCACTAGCTGCTCTGAACCCTTTGTCTCCCGCCCAGGGGAAAGGTACATACATGTTAAATACCAAGGCGATGACGTAGTCCGGCGAGACGGTCACTTTCCAGTCACACTCCTTGCCTGGTGGGTAAGGCTCTGGGTAATTTGGTGACAGGATGACTCCTGATGGTCCCGTCAGGTCTCCCCCGCAGGGAGCTGAAGAGAGAGACAGAGAGGGCCAAGGCTGTCCCCTTCACCTGCTCACTTTTTTTTTTTTGAGACAGAGTTTCACTATGTCACCCTCTGTAGAGTGCCATGGTGTCACACCTCACAGCAATCTCCAACTCTTGGGCTTAAGTGATTCTTGTGCCTCAGCCTCCCAGGTAGCTGGGACTACAGGCATCTGCCACAATGCCTGGCTATTTTTTGGTTGCAGTTGTCATTGTTGTTTAGCTGGCCAGGGCTGGGTTCGAACCCGCCAGCCTTGGTGTACATGGCTGGCACCGTAACCACTGTGCTCCAGGCGCTGAGCCCCTGCTCACAGTTTGATGGGCATTGGTAAGGCACGGTAGAGGGGCTGAGTCCGACAGGCTCAAGGGGCTGAGGGGTGGGGGACAGAATGATGGAGTTTTACTCTGGAGTGCTGGGCATGTTTGCGGGATAGCTGTGGTAGTCTCACAACAGTTTGAATATCCCAAGTGCCACTGAATTGTTCATTTAAAAATGGGTAATTTTATGATCTGTGTGTTTTGTGTCAATAAATTATTATTATTATTTTTAAAAAACCCTGGTTCTGTCACTTCCTGGCTGGGCGATCTTTGGGAATTTACCTAACCTCTCTGGACGTTAGTATCCTTCCTCCATTCTAAAGAGACCTATCTTCTTTGTGGGGTGTGGGTTAGGCTATTGGAGATGTCTGATAAAGCATTTGGTATAGTCAATACCCAGAGCTATCACTGTCTTCAGACACAGGACATACACGGTCCCCTTTCTCATCCTGACCTCCAGTTTCCAGGTGCGCTTTGTGGGAATTTATGGCAAGTGCCAGCACACTCCTTGTCAGGAGGAGCAGAAAACATGGTCATGTTCACCTGCCAAGCACAGCCGGTCTCCAACCCTGCCAGTGCTCTTGGCATCTGCTCAGGCTGCAGACGCCGTTCAACTTTCCAAAAACCCTTGTCCAAGAGTGTGGTGTACCTCAGTTGTGTGGAGATGTGACAAATCCCCAATTAGTCCACAGCGGTCGCCTACCCTGAGTTGACAGGTCTTTCAAGCAGGTGGGGAGGGAGGGGGTGGCCAGGTGATACAGCAGCCCACTCACCCAGGGACCTTCTGGGCAGCTCCTCACATCCTGAGTCAGGTCTCTCCCTAAATGGCTTAGGCTGGTGCACCGTGGCATGAGGATTGGACAGAGTAGAAGCTGGGCAGTGCACGGGGTCATTAACAGGAAAAGAGGGCTTAGAAGACTATGGATATGACTTGGTCTCAAAACCACAGCGCACCATCAGGGATCGGGTGTGGAGCTGGCAAAAAGTGAGCCCACAGCGGGCACAGAGAGCTGTTTAAGGGGTGGCCAGAAAATCCAGGATGAGGACTGGATCCAGGATGGGGGTGGTAGCCAGGGCGCATATCCAAGCATGGAAGTTAAGACCAGCAGCCACTTGGTTGTCATCGAGCTGAGCTTTATTGCCTCACGCGGTGGCTTTTACTCAGCGTGAAGCTTAAAGGGCTGGGTCAGTCCCTAACAAAGTCTTGAAAAAAATGACAGGAGCTCAGGTCAGGCCATAAAAGTTGGACACGATCAAACATAAAACCTGAGTGGTCACGAGTGCTGTGTTTTTCTCCATGGGAAAAAAATATATCTCCAGTACCAACCCGAGTACCAGAAATACTCAGGTAGGCATCTGTTATGTGTAAGATGTGACAAAGGACATTTTAGACACATTGTTTCATTTACGTCTCATTAATAACTCAGTGGACTCTGAGTTCTTCTTCCTGATTTGTAAAGTGAGGCTCAGAGAGGTCATGTAACTTGCCCAGTCACTTTGAGTTTCAAACCCGCAGCAGTCTGCTCCAGAGGCTGACACTTTCCCCTTCCCTGCTGCCTTAGTCAGTGGTGGTGGTCGGGGGAGAGGAGGAGTGTTCCTCCCTACAGGCCAGGAGGGGAGAGGCCCCAGCTGTGAGAGCGTCTATGAGCGAGGACGGCTTCTTGTGTCAGGTCTGCCTGTATCCCACTCGCCCTTCCTTCACTGAACCCCCTTGAGAGCAGAAGGCTAGATAACTGGGACTGCCCAGAGGCCTGTACCACCAGGGTAGAATGTTGTGCTGAGCAAAACAAGACTCCATTGTCCAGCCCAGAGAGTGGCCCTGCCCAGGCCAGCCTACAAAGAGTCCAGTGTAGCCACTGGGAGCAGAAAGCACGTGTCACGGCATTTCCCCCCCCCCCCGGGGGAATCCTCCCTGGGGGCACAATGTGGCCTCTGCCCTGGGCAAGGATCACCAGGCTTGACCTCCTTTTGCCAGCTCAGGGGCTTCTGAGCAAGTTTGCCACAGACAGGGGAGTTTGTGTGTTTCTGCCACTGCTCCTGTTACTCTCCTGCCAACCCCCTAAATGCTCTCAGTTTGCTGGGGTTCTGGGCCTCTGACTCTCCCAAACGCTCCCTGGCATCAGGCTTCTGCTTCCCGCTTAGGACCCTGGCATGAGCTGCACTGGGCCCCAAGGCTCTGGGTGGACTCCTAGGCTGCTTCACCAACAGGAGGGCTCCCGCCCCTCAGGGCTGCTCAAGGGGTCCAGCTGAACCTACTAAACCTTGGCTGTCCCAGAGGGAGTGGACACACCCTGCTGACCCTTCCAGGTGACCATAAAGTGTGCTGAGGGGGACAGTTCTGAAAAGGGCATTGATTTGGAAGTCATACCGTCCTGGGTTCAAATTCTGACAAGATACCCACTGGCCATGTGAGTCTGGACAAGCCACCCACCCCTCTGAGCCTCCATTTCCCCATCTGTCAAATACTGCCAAAGAGGAGTGGTGATAACAGCTCTAACAGTGCTCACTATGAGCCAGGCACGGTTCTAAGTGCTTTGCAATATTTTCTTTGTTAATCCTCAAAGCAATTCTACAAGGGGTTAGTATGAGTCTCTATTTTACTAGAGAGGCAACTAAGGCACAGAGAGGTTAAGCACTTTGTCTCAGACCACACAGCCACTGAGCTGAAGCCAGACGTGAAGCCAGGCAGTTGGCATCCTGAGCACTCAACTCACCACATGGTGACTTCAATTGTGATAATGTAGCTAAAAATGCCCAGCCCAGTGCCTATCACGGGGAGACAATAAACATTTGTTTCCTCCCTATAATGAAGGGTTATCCAGGCCAGCTAGCCCCCTCGTGGCAGAATGCCCAGGGAGCTGGAAATTAGAAGCTTGTCACTGGGATTTCTAGCTTGTTTCAGAGAAGAGGCAAAGGCATTTATTTTGTTGCCCGAGGAACATTTCCCAAAGCTGAGTGTAGAAGAATGGGCAGTGAAAGCTGAATTAACCTCTCTGCCCTGCCTCCTGCACACTTGCCACTCTCACCTGCTTAGCACAGCGCAGCCCGCCTCTCCTCCCGGGACAATCTCGTCTTAGGACCTGCTTTTCTATAAAATATCTAAGGCTTTGCAGCCTCCAGAATGCTAACTATGGAAGGGGCCTCAGAAGTCATGGGAGCCCCTCCTGGGCCTCACCAGAATTCCCTCGGCCAGTTGGAATTCTGATGTAGGAATGGGAAGTGATTCCCAAAACTTGAAAGAAGGAGGGGTGGAGGGAAGTTACTATGGTATTTCTTAAGGTTGCGGATACTCCCCACACAAGGCCATAAGGGAAGTGTATTTACCCGCACAGATGAGCAAATTCAGGCTCCGAGTGTTGAAGCAATTATCCCAAGGCCACGGAACTCGTAAATGGCAGAGCCAGAAGCTAAACTTGATCTGTCTCCTTCACTACCCCGTGCTCTTTCCTACATGGCACAACACGTAGCTAAGAGCCAAGCTGGTTCTGGAATGGAGATAGCAGCCTCCTGTCCCCACACACTCACCACACTCCTGCCCCGCAAATCTAGGTGACTCCTAATTCCCACTGAGGAACAGGAGTTAGTGTCTCAGAGTCATGATTAGGAAAGACCAGACCTTAGCTGCAGGACAATGCCTCCCAACTGGCCTGCTTAAAGAGAGGGGTGACCAACATGGGCACCACTGAGGGTGCCTCGGGAAGTCCCTGGCACCCGTCTCCAGCGGGGGAGGCGGCGTGGGAGGGAGGAAGATGGGAGCCTTTGCGTTCAGACTGGTGCGGGTGTGAATCTTGGCTCTGCTGTATAGTAGCTCTGGGATTTGGGGCAAGATATCCAAATTTGTCTAAGTTTCAGTTTCCACAAGTGTAAATGAGGAAACGGTGCTAATTTCAGAGAGCTGGCCGAGAAAGTTAAATGAGGTTATCTAAGTAAATGCCCAGGATGGGGCAGGCTCCCGGGAAGGCCTCAATGACTTGTCTCCTGACAGCCAGTGTTGACACCGGAGCGAAATGCGTTCATTATTTGGCCTGAGCAGAACCTGGGGGTTTTGTTTCTTTCTTTCCTGTCCCCACCTCCCATGTTAAGTAGTCAGGATTATTCAGGTCCCACCCTCAAAGTGACACAACTTTGGACAAGTCTCAAGGCCTCCATTTCTTCATCTGTCAAATGGGGAGGTTTTAAGAATGAGAATGGATCTAAAGAACCAAAACCCAGGTAACCAATAATTTCCTTGAGAATGGGAAGAGGGAGTTTCTTTTCTTTACACCCGGAGCCTGTGGGTGTCCTGCTAGTACTTCATGTAGCAGAGGGCCACTGGGAGCCTGCTGACCCTTACTCCCCAAGGTGACTCATTGTTCCTGAGAGAAAGGAACCAACCTGCCAGGCTTGGAAATCTTTGGGCCCATTATAGCAAGCGAAGAATCTCTAGTGTGTGTGTCGAGTGTGAACGTGGGAATGTGAGTGTGGGCACACGTGTGCAAAGCTGGGCAAACCGGGTTTTCCCATGACTTTCATCTGTTCCAATTCTCCGGGCCCCAGGCTCAGGATGCAGCCTCCCCTGTGTGGAGGGGCCTGGAGCTCACAACCATGGGCCCAAAGGGCAGAGCGCCTTGCAGCTGCTTTGTACCGATGCACGTCGGCGGGCTGGGCTGCCAGAAGAACCTGTTCTCGATCTTCACACAGCTGATTTCTGCGCTTCCCTGCAGCGCGTAGCCTGGGTCACACTGAAACACCGTGGAGTCCCCGGCTTCCCAACTGTCACCACTCCGGCTCCCATTCTGCGGGACCCCAGGGTCATTGCAGGACGTTGCTGTGGACACTGTGGCAAGAAAGTAGAAGGGCGAGTGGAGTTGCCTGGGGGTCTGCCAGACAAGAGGCACCCAGCTCATTACCATGGCTGACTGCCATCACCAGTGCCACTGCCCCCACCGACCATCGTTACCTCCACAGCATTGGCATTTGTATGATTCTCACTCCTGCTATTGTCACTGCCTCCACTACCCCTGTGATTGCTGTGTTACTCTCACCCCCATCACTACCGCCATTCTACCTGTATCCTCACCATCACTGTCATCCACTGTCACGAGATACTCTGAGTTAAGCTTGATTGCACTGCTATGATTGCAGGATTGAGTTCAGTTTGATTTAAGACTACAGCATTGTTACATAGACAAAACGCTGCAATTTTGTAAAATGCAACTGTGATCAGTATGAGAGAGAGAGGAGATAATTAAGCCTAGACTTTATGTATTCAATGAGAAGGGTCTGCAAAGGAGTTTGAGAGCTGTCTTGCCTGAATGCTGAGCAGTGGGCGGGAAGTTGCAGGGAGTGACTGAGGTCAGGTGATGACCATGCTGTCTCTTGGAAGGGCAAACTAGCAAGGATCCATCAGGCCGAAACCACGTTTGAAGAAAAATCAGATATTCATAGCAAGTGGCAGAGCAGAGTTCAAAATAAACATAAGCAGCTGAGGTGCGTTAAAAATCCAAAATACTCAGGAATTTTGGATTTGCTGATGGTCTAGTTCCTAACCTCGGCTAACACAGAGCAGGTGTTTTATAAGCAAACACTGAATGAATGATAAAAGGGAGGAATAAATGAATAAAGAATGAATGAGAAAATGAATGAAAAAACGCAGCACGAGGAAACACACCAGAGGAAACTGTGTAAGATTAAGACCAGAGAAAGGATTCTAAGACAGCTGCAATGAACCCAGTTGCCTTCAAAGCCCAGATTTGACATCAGCGCCTGGGCAGCTCTGTCACCCCTCGCAAACTGTGGTCAGCAGAAAGTTCTGGATGCCACAGGATAAGTACTGCTCATTTGCTTGGAGTGTCAGTAAATCTTCTCAAAAATTTCAGGAAAAGTTACTTTTACACTAGGCAAAATTATTTATTTTGGAGCAGAATGTGAAATTCCTATTAGTTTCTAAGCAAAACCACGACGGCTCAAGGAGGTTTTGTGCTTGCTATACCCTCCAGACCATCTGGAGATATGCACCCGTTCTCTTCCACTATTAAGAGGACTTCAGTGGAAAAGTTTGAGAAGCACTGACCTAGGGGAACTACACACACTGATGTCACTAATTATAGCATCTAGGATTGTATGTGAATCTGGACATAGCACCTGACACCTTATACTCAGTAACACTTAAGGCAAGTACAGGAAACTGTGGTCCACAGCCAAGTCTGGCCCTGGTGCCTGCTTTTGTAAATAAAGTTTTACTGGAACACAGGCATGCTCACACATTATCATAGCTTTTGTGCTATGTTGGGAGAGTTGAGTTGTTATGACAGAGACTGCATGGCCCACAAAACCTGAATATATTTACCATCTAGTCTATCACAGAAAATGTTTCCCAACCTTGGTATATGGTATCCTAGCTTAAGCTCCCTTCTTTTGAGATGACATTTTAAAAACCTATCCTTTCCTTTATCCAGCTTTAATCATTAACACCATCAATGATCTGCTATCACTATGCTCTAGCCACATCTGTAAAATCTTCTAATACAGCAAGCTCAGTCCCCATGTCCCTTCCTCCCTGCAGGGCCTTTGCACATGCTGGTCCTTCTGCCTGGAATGAGCTTGCCACAGTTATTTTTATATCGAC